GGTGAAAATATTTTCATTAATATAAAAAAGAAAACCAGTTGTTTTATCCCCTAACAAAAGCTGGAAAGTATCAAAGCCATGTAGAGCATTTCTCTTAACCCCAAAATTATCTTTACTGTGATCCTAATGGTTGCCAGTTTCAATCTATATATTGTGACGTGATATAGCGACAGACTTATTCTATGTCTCAAGCTCAGCTACTTTGACCTGATTTTTTTTTTTAGTTTAACTGACATACTGAGAGGATACAATGAAGCAAAGAACAAAAACGCAAACACATTATAAACAGAGAACAAAAAAAGGCATGAGCTCATATATACAGTTGTGCTCAAAAGTTTGCATACCCTGGCAGAAATTGTGAAATTTTGGCATTGATTTTGAAAATATGACTGATCATGCAAAAAAATATATATATTTTATTGAATGATAGTGATCATATGAAGCCATTTATTTGTACATAGTTGGCTCCTTTTTAATTCATAATGATTGCAGAAATTACCCAAGTGGCCCTGATCAAAAGTTTACATACCCTTGAATGTTTGGCCTTGTTACAGACACACAAGGTGACACAAACAGGTTAAAATGTCATTAAAAGGTTAATTTCCCACACCTGGAAATTTTTAAATTGCAATTAGTGTCTCTGTAGAAATAGTCAATTTGATTTTTAGCTCTCACGTGGATGCACTGAACAGGCTAGATACTGAACAAGGTAATGGAACTTTATAAAGATGGAAAAGACTATAAAAAGATATCAAAAGTCTTGAAAATGCCAGTCAGAACTGTTCAATCACTTATTAAGTGTCACGATACATGTCCGTTGTGGCCCTGTGCAATCAAAGAAATTATGTATTTTCTGAGTTCTGATGCACACACATTTCCCTAACTTCCTGGTGCATTAATATGACTATATATATATATATATATATATATATATATATATGGACCCCTCCCATTAGTCTCCTTTTATAGTGTCAGCCCATGTGTCACTTTTTGATGATGTGTACAGGCTTGTGACATCTCGGTCCTCTGTGACCAATCACTACCCAGTATAAGGTATATATACTTCCTGGTTGTCCTTGTTTCCTTGCCATGTTGTGGTTTTTGTTACCTGAGAGTGTGTTTATACACTGTATTGGATTTCCTGTTTTCTGACCTTGACTTATTTGACTATTCTTGCTCTCTGTTATCCTGATCCTGGCCTGGCTATCACTTCTATGTATTTCTGTAATCCTGATCTCTGCTTGTCTCTCGTTTATTCTCTGTCTGCTTGGACTTTCCAGCATGACAGTGACCCTAAGCACAAGGCCAAGTTGATCCTCCAGTGGTTACAGCAGAAAAAGGTGGAGGTTCTGGAGTGGCCATCACAGTCTCCTGTCCTTAATATCATCAAGCTACTCTGGGGAGATCTCAAACATGCGGTTCATGCAAGACGACCAAAGACTTTGCATGACCTGGAGGCATTTTGCCAAGAGAAATGGGCAGCTACACCACCTGCAAGAATTAGGGGCCTCATAGACAACTTTTACAAAAGACTACACGCTGTCATTGATGCTAAAGGGATCAATACACAGTATTTAGAGCTAAGGGTATGCAGACTTTTGAACAGGTGTCATATCATTTTTTTTTTCTTTGTTGCCATATTTTGTTTTATGATTGTGCCATTCTGATATAACCTACAGTTAAATATGAATCCCATAAGAAATAAGAGAAATGTGTTTTGCTTACTCATGGTGTTTTTAAAAATGGTACATATATTACCTATTCTCCAAGGGTATGCAAACTTTGAGCACAACTGTATGAGTGCGCTGGATCTTGTATGTTGTATGAATGGGCCCCAGAAGCACTCTTATAATGTATGCATGTTTAGGTGAGTGCAGCCATTTAAATATATATAGACAGAAACATATACAACAGATAGGTTAACGTTAAAACTATTATGAATCTGAGATAAAATAGCCAGGTCACATTTTCCAACAATTTTTTTTAGGCAAGGCTTGCTAACAAAAAAAAAATAGTGAATGGAGAACAGGAGGTAACAAGTAAAAAAAAATAAAAAAATAATAATAATAATAATGATTAAATTAAAAAACGGGACGGGGCCTGGCTGTCAAGGAGGGGTGAGGCAATCGAATGGGCTCCCTCACTATTTTGCTGTAAGCAGCTTTTAGCAAGCTCATTTCACTCCAGAAGGGAGTAACCCAGCAATGTTGCTCCTACCTGACCGACCTGACATGCTTAATAGCGATCAGCGACATGACAGAGGCTTACTCACCTCCTTAGCTAAGACTGATGGAGAGCTTGTGATACCGCAGGGGTCCTGCTACTGGGATATGCCATGTACCGCTGCCTCCCACTTCAGCACACAAGCCTGCAGCGTTCATCCAAAGTTATGGACAGCGCTCTGCCCATGGTGGACGTAGGGTGAAGAGGGATTGAGGGAATGAACCGTGCAGCGCTTTGGAACTCTGTTTTCAGCTGTTTTAGTTACACTGATTTTCTTATTATTATCTGTATTTATTAGCACACAGACTCTAGCCCTACCTGATACTTTCTTCTTCCTAAACACCCTGTATCATCACTGGGGGCCCTCAGGGGGAATCAGCTTGTTAGACATCTTACTACTATCTCGTTATTAACGTAAAAATGTGCAGTTATTCAGGCTAGCTCGATCCATAATGTCATGACTCATTACTGTATAGAAGCAATGCCATGTCTAATGCTGTTTTTTCTTCTACACAACAAAAATAAAGAATAAAAAATAAATAAAACATTTAAAAACAAAACAAAAAAAGCCACCAACCACACTTCTGATCGTAACCACCAGTTGTAAGGAGGCTAAAATAGATATGTATGTTTACAGCATACATTGTCTGAGATCACAAGTACTTTGGAAATCGTGGGGTTTTATAATACGCTCATTTATAGAGAGCACGGAAACTGCTTTATCCTCTGTATAGCTCCGATCTTTTCTAAATGTTACAGTCAGTTGGTTGTTTTCTTTTCTCTTGTATTTAATCAATATTGCATTTTACGGGACAGAACAGCCTGTCACTTCGTACTCTGTTTTCAATTACTGTTTTGTGTCACTAGCCAATATACCAGCAGAATATTACAATGTGCTCCGCTGTGTCCCAGAGGTTTCCATTCCGATTCCGCCTATAGGATCTCCTTTCATTTCACACCTATTTTCGTTTATGCATTTCTTACTGAATTTCCTACAATTTCTTTCTGCGCTGGCTTTGTCCCAATGGCAGACTCTGTGCTCCACCCAGCTTCCCAGTTTATTTCTGGCCTATTCACATTGTTCTTTTCTTACCTTATTTTGTGTTTTCTGTCCTCGTTCTATTCTTGCTGTGTGAAGCTAGGCACTTTAACAGACAAGCACTAGTTACCTATTTTACAGTGTTATATTGTTATACCCTAATAAAAAAAAAAAAATCAATTTGATCACTTAGCACAGAAAGTATTTCTTTTCGGTTTGAATGCGCGCACAGGGAGGGGGAGGAGAGGTTACCAGCGCCAAAGGAGGGGCCTATTGACCATATAGTGCCAGGAAAAGTTTGTTTTCCTGGAGTTTGTTTTCCTGGAACTTTAGTGGTCCTTAAACCATAATTTCTGTTGTTGGGTTCTTGGAACACACATTGCCAGCTTTTTCCTAACAATTCACATGTTTTATTTGCTTTGTTTTATGACTACAATGCTCAAATCAATTGCAAAGTTTTCCAGTGTCAGCCATCAGTCAAGTATCCTTAAAATGCAGGTCCCACAGCTTGACTACCATAAGTGGAGAATCTAAAAACATCAACCTGCTCAGATCGGTAAGAACACCATAGGTGGTATAGGAGACTTTCACCAGCTGGAGGCCCTACATATGTTAAAATGTATTCACCCTGTCCTATACATGTCACTATTTTGTTCTCAGTCTGAGATCGTTTTACTTGCTATAACCTACCTTTCCTGCTACATGTCGGTGGTAGTCGGTACAGCAGATGTTTGGGAACTGTACTTCCCTTAATGCTCAGCGTGTGAAAATTCCATATATAACATTAATGACTAATCTTGGATTAATCTTGGATTAGTTGTTTACAAGTATGTACAGTAGAATGATCAGGCATCACTCATACAGGTAGATTTGTTCTTACAGTTTTTCTCTTCTTGACAAACATGACCTTACTGTTAAAAACTAAATTCATGGTTTGACAGTCATTGCTAGCTCTCAGACATAAATACGTAAGACCAGCATAGGCGTGCGCACGGGGTGTGCCGGGTGTGCCTGGGCACACCCTAATCCCCGTGGCACGCCTATGGCTTGAGTCCTGCAGGAACAGCGTTCCTGCACTTTTTTTGAGCAGGAACGCTGTTCCTGCAGGCACTCAGCGCCCCCCTGTCTCACCTCTTGCCCCTGTCATGGGGGAGGGTGGGGCAAGAGGTGATGGATTACCCCCCGCCCCCCCCCCTCCCCGCAGTTCAGCCGTCATATTCCGGCTCCCAGCTACAGCAGACAGCCCGCGCGGCGAGAGGGAGCAGAGAGCAGAGAGCTCCCTCGCCGCGGCTGAACTGGAGAAAGGCGCCCGCCCCCACTGGACCCCAGGGACAAGTCCACCAGCACTCCAGGTAGGAGGCTGGGTGGACATTTAAAAAAAAAAAATATATATATAATAATGTGTGTGTGTGAGTATGTGTGTGTCTGTGAGTGTGTGTGTGTGTGTGTGTGTGAGTTGTCTGTGAGTGTGTGTCTGTGAGTATGTATGTGTGTGTGTCAGTGTGTCTGTGAGTGTGTGTCTGTGAGTATGTGTGTGTGTGTCTGTGAGTATGTGTGTGTGTCTGTGTGTGTGTGTGTCTGTGAGTGTGTGTGTGTTTCTGTGAGTGTGTGTGTGTTTCTGTGAGTGTGTGTGTTTCTGTGAGTGTGTGTCTGTGAGTATGTATGTGTGTGTGTCAGTGTGTGTGTGAGTGTGTGTCTGTGAGTGTGTGAGTGTATGTGTGTGTCTGTGAGTATGTATGTGTGTGTGTGTCTGTGTGTGTGTGTGTGTACATATATATATATATATATATATATATATACACACACACACACGCAGAGCCGGCGCTATCTGAGTGCCGGCTCTGCTCTAAGCCTTCATGGGCCGGCGGGGAGACCAAAGATCTACCTCACCGGCCCACAGCAGCTTGGAGGGAGGCAGTAGAGGACCCAGGGAGCTCTAGACAGAAGCTCCGCCAGGTTCCTCTCGCGATATCTGAGCGTTGCTGTGGCAACGCTCAGATCTCGCGAGAGTTAACTCTAGCCCCGCAGGCTTGAGTTCACTCTCCACTGGACCACCAGGGATGGCACATGGCAGCAAGGATTTACTAATCTTCCAAATCCCTCCAAACATACAGCACACACACATACAGCACCTACACACATACAGCTCACACACACACAGTACACTAACCGCACCCTCACAAACACACACAGCACCTTTAAAAAAAACACAACACCCTCACACACAGCACACTAACAGCACCCTCACAAATAGCACCCTCACAGGACAAACATACACACACAAACAGCACAGTCACAAACACGCACCCTCACACACACATAACACTAACAGCACACAGCACACTAACAGCACACACAGCTGTGTGTGTGTGTTTATATATATATATATATATATAGAGAGAGAGAGAGAGAGAGATACATACACACGCGCGTGGCGTGTGTTTGTGCTTTAGGGTGCACACCCTAATGCAATTGGCTGCGCACGCCTATGAAGACCAGTAATTGAATTCTGTACATCTGGTCCTCAGTGGGCCTTTGTGAGATTATGTACTATGTAATTGTCTTTTACTTATAAACCATAACAAATTAACAGTTACTTCCAACCCACACCAAAAAAAAAACCTTGTCGTCTCAACTAAAATTGTTTAATTTCACCAAAACAAATGTTTCATATACATGTGTATAATCTTTTTCACATAAGACCCATGTATACAGGGAATTGGTTCTGTTTTACATTGATTTGATTCTAAAAATCACTTATAAACTCAAGTAAGTAGAAGTATAGATCAGGGTGTTGCAGTCGATGTGATCTACTTGGATTTTGCCAAGGAATTTGATATTGTTCCTCACAACAGGTTAGTCTTCAAACTAAAAGAAATTGGTCTAGATGATTATTCTTGTTCTTGGGTAGAACATTGGCTTAAGGACAGAGTACAATGAGTTGTCATTAATGGTAAATTTTTAGGCTGGACAAAAGTGGTAAGCAGTGTCCCTCGGGGTTCTGTTTTGGGACCGCTTCTATTTAACATATTTATTAATGATCTTGACATAGGCATTGAAAGCCATGTTTCAGTGTTTGCAGATGACACAAAACATTGTAAAGTAATAAAATGTGAGCAGGATGTTGCTTTGCTGCAGAGGGATTTGGATAGATTGGGGGACTGGGCACTAAAATGGCAGATAAACGTTAACGTAGAGAAATGCAAAGTTATGCACTTCGGGGTCAAGAATGTACAAGCAACTTACACCCTAAATGGTAGTGAATTAGGGATAGCCACACACGAGAAGGATTTGGGAATTGTTATAGACAACAAATTAGGCAGCAATATGCAATGTCAGTCTGCAGTTGCTAAGGCCAGTAAGGTTTTGCCATGTATAAATAGGGGCATAAATTCTCGGGATGAAAATATATTTTTGCCTCTTTATAAATCGCTGGTAAGACCACACCTTGAATATGTTGTGCAATTTGGGGCACCTTTTCTAAAGAAGGATATCATGGCACTAGAAAAAGTGCAGAGACGAGCTACAAATTTGATACAAGGAATGGAGCATTTTAGTTACAAAGAAAGGTTAAAAATTGAAATCTCTTTAGTTTGGAAAAACAGTGCCTCAGAGGGGATATGATAACATATTACAAATATATTCAGGGCCAGTACCAACCATTTTCTGGAAATCAGTTCATAAATAGGGCTATACATAGGACACGAGGTCACTCATTTAGGCTGGAAGAAAGGAGATTTAATCTAAGGCAAAGAAAAGGTTTTTTTTTTACAGTAAGAGCAATAAGGATATGGAATTCTCTGCCTCAAGAGGTGGTTTTATCAGAGTCCATACAGATGTTTAGACTGCAATTGGATTAATACTTGCAAAAACATAACATACAGGGATGTAATTTCTAATTAGTGGGGTAATAGCTGCTTGATCCAAGGAGACATCTTACTGCTATTTTGGGGTCCAGCAGTTATTTTTTCCTAGTTTGTTGCAAAATTGGAAGCCCTTCAGACTAGGTTTTTTGCCTTCTTTTGGATCAACAGCAAAAACATATGTGAGGAAGGCTGAACTTGATGGACGCAAGTCTCTTTTCAGCTATGTAACTATGTACTCCCCTGCATTGCACAGGAGCCTTTGTGGCTTGCAATGTACAGGGCTTTTGAATAGCTGTAAGTGAAACTCCAACCTGGCAAATTTGCAAGTTGCAATGTCCTTTCATAGTTTGAAGGCCGATCTTTGTCAGCCATCAGCATGTACAGTATCTCACAAAAGTGAGTACACCCCTCACATTTTTGTAAATATTTTATTATTTCTTTTCATGTGACAACACTGAAGAAATTACATTCTGCTACAATGTAAAGTGGTATGTGTAAATTTGCAGTCCCCTCAAAATAACTCAACACACAGCCATTAATATCTAAACCGTTGGCAACAAAAGTGTGTACACCCCTAAATGGAAATGCCCAAATTGGGCCCAAAGTGTCAATATATTGTGTGGCCACTAGTATTTTCCAGCACTGTCTTTACCCTCATGGGCATGGAGTTCACCAGAGCTTCCCAGGTTGCCACTGGAGTCCTTTTCCACTCCTCCATGACGACATCACAGAGCTGGTGGATGTTAGAGACCCTGCGCTCCCCCACCTTCCATTTGATGCCCAATAGGGTTTAGGTCTGGAGACATGCTTGGCCAATCCATCACCTTTACCTTCAGCTTCTTTAGCAAGGCAGTGGTCGTCTTGTAGGTGTGTTTGGGGTCGTTATCATGTTGGAATACTGCCCTGCTGCCCAGTCTCCAAAGGGAGGGGATCATGCTCTGCTTCAGTATGTCACAGTCAGTGGTGTATTTACCGTGTTGGTGTGTGTGTGTTAGTGTGTGTGTGTGTCTGTATCTGTTAGTGTGTGTCCAGAGAGCCTGTTCTACACCAGACCAGTGGAGCCAGACTGCAGCCAGAGCCCATCGTCATCCTAATCTGCCTGTAAGTAGGCAGTCTAGTATATTATTCGTGGCACTAATCTGTAATTTACCTCACATTAAAGGGACACTATAGTGCCCAGAACCACAGCAGCTTAATGTAGTGGTTCTGGTGTCTTTAGCCTTTCCCTGTAGGCTTTTTAATGAAATCACACACTGTGTGCAGCACTGCTGTTGTTTCATATGGCAGATCATATGGGTAGGGCATTATGATGTCACATGTGGGGAGGGGGGTGGGGGGGCCTAGGGCGGCAAAAATCCTTGCACCGGCCCTGACAGGCTGACCCCCACCCCTTCGACCTCTGCAGCAATGCTGGCAGCACTCATACGTCTATTTCCCAAAGACAACCTCTGAATATGACGCGAGCACGTGCACTCAACTTCTTTGGTCGACCATGACGAGGCCTGTTCTGAGTGGAACCTGTCCTGTGAAACCGCTGTATGGTCTTGCCCACCGTGCTGAAGCTCAGCTTCAGGATCTTGGCAATCTGTAGAGTAACAATTATTTTTTTCAGATCCTCGGAAAGTTCTTTGCCATGAAGTGCCATGTTGAACTTCCCGTGACCAGTGTGAGAGAGTGAGAGAGCGATAACACCAAATTTAACACACCTCCCCATTCACACCTGAGACCTTGGGCCCAATTTGGACATTTCCACTTAGGAGTGTACTCACCTTTGTTGCCAACAGTTTAGACATTAATGGCTGTGTGTTGAGTTATTTTGAGGGGGCAGCAAATTTACGCTGTTATACAGGCTGTACACTTACTACTTTACATTGTAGCAAAGTGTCATTTCTTCAGTGTTGTCACATGAAAAGATATAATAAAATATTTACAAAAATGTGAGGGGTGTACTCACTTTTGTGAGATACTGTATGTATTATGTGCCCATATATTCATGATATCTGCATTTCTCTGACGTTTTAACAATCTGCAAAATTACCAGTAGACCCCATGCCAAATACCCATAAGCCAAGTGTTTGGTTATTTTCATTGATATGTTTTGTAACACCTATCACATGCTATAAAATTATATTCATGCTTATAGACAGACTGGTTTTTCAGAAACTGCATGAATTACTGTAAGATTAAGGGTACTGTATAATTTCTAATGTACGCCCTATATTTCCAAAGTTTATAAACAAATGCATTTTCTTAAAACTCTTTTAAATTTTTTTCCCCAGTTTCAATTCAAGACTTTGACAAGACTTTGCAGCAAATAAAAAGAATGCATGGTATACCTACACAGTAGTCACTACCTCTATTCTAATTTTATGTGCCAAATTCCATTATATATAATAAACATGTATTCCTAAAGTATCTGAGAAATAAACTTAAATGTAGTAGTCCACACTGCTGTATTTACCTCTATCCTTGAACTGAATGCCTCCATCTTACTTCCCTGACAGTGGTGTACATACCAGGATCGCAGGGGTCGCGGCTGCGACCGGGCCCGGCCCACCAGGGGGCCCGGCCGCCCCTGCGACCCGGTATGTACCCACAGGGCCAGCCTCTTCTCCTGTTGGGCCCAGGAGCCGGCCACCTCAGGGCCCCCCCGAGGCTGGCCCTGCTGACCCCGGCGGGCGGGCGGCTGGCTGGCTGGCTGGGTGGCCGGCACGCGAGGGAGCACTCAGTGCTTCCTCTTCAGCTCCCTCACGCACCGCACTGATGCCGGCGCCGGAAGGTGATCTTCCGGCGCTGGCATCCCTATGCGGCGCGCGAGGGAGCTGAAGAGGAAGCACTGAGTGCTCCCTCGCACACCGGCCACCGAGACAGCCAGCCAGCCCGCCCAGCAGCACCACTGGACCCCAGGGAATCCCCCCAGCACTCCAAAAGGTAAGGAGGCTGGGGGGATTAAATT